GATGACATTAACAGCCACTGTTCAGTTGTCTTCCATCAGACTGAATTTTAATAGCAAGACAGGCAGCATTAAAAAAATATATAATACCCTTAGTTCCTCATAGATGCTTCTGAAGCTCAGATTAAATGAAGTCTGTTTAACAATCCCATCACCATTAAGTAACTCATTAGGAAATAAAGTAATTATCAAATGGGAATTATGAAGTAATTATGACTCTGAAACAGATGACATACAATTGCTAAAAGAGGGCGAGGTGTCTCTTAGTCATATGTCAGAGACTTAGTACAGAGAAGAGCAACAAAGATGATTAGGGGACTGGAGGCTAAAACATATAAGGAACGGTTGCGAGAATTGGGTATGTCTAGTTTAACGAAGAGAAGGACAAGGGGGGACATGATAGCAGTATTCCAATATCTCAGGGGCTGCCATAAAGAAGAGGGAATTAAGCTATTTTCCAAAGCACCTGAAGGCAGGACAAGAAGCAACGGGTGGAAACTAATCAAGGAGAGAAGCAACCTAGAACTAAGGAGAAACTTCCTGACAGTGAGAACAATTAATCAGTGGAACAGCTTGCCTCCAGAAGCAGTAAATGCTCCAACACTGGAAGTTTTTAAGAAGAGACGGGACAGCCATTTGTCCGAAATGGTGTAGGGTTTCCTGCCCGAGCAGGGGATTGGACTAGATGACCTCCAAGGTCCCTTCCAACTTTACTATTATTATTATTATTATCTCATTCTCATTTTAACCACTAGTGGTATGTTGACAATAAACCTACTATTTAGATTTCAAAATAATCCAAAAAGTTTGTTACAAAAAAAATTCTTAAGGTTACCCCGTGAAAAGGAGAAACGGTTAACATGCAAGAATTTCCCATAAGAATTTCCCCCTTCCATTTAAAATCCAATATTATATAAATTATATATTTGTATAATTCTGTCATGTATTTATCAAAATGCAAGAACACCATGTTTTTGTAAGTGTTGTGTTGATATTAAAAAAAATCATGACACTAATAATGTGACTCTACAAGTATTAGGTAGGAATAGCAAAGTGCCACCTATTTTTATTAAACAACTCATATAGCTATCCATTTTATGCACCATAATCCTAAGTATTTTACAAACAGGAAAGCAAACAGTAAAAACAAAACTTCATAACATAATTATGAATCTATTTACTTTGTAAGTCTTATAAGAACATGTATTCATGAAAATTCAACTACTGGAATCCTAAGAAATAAAGATTTCAGTGTTGAAATCAGACAGAATTAACTATTTTCAATGTTCTTGCATCAATCAGCATATTAAGTACAACTGGAATTATGAATACAATTAGAATTTCTAACTCAAAAAGGATGTTCTTGATCTGGAAATAGCTACCTGTATTATTAAACTGAAAATGGTGTATAAACTACAAGTGGTTTTCTTTACAGGGCTTTTACATACTATGTAAATGTTAAGAAATTGAAGAATCACTGAACAATTATTTTTACTAAATAATTCTTCACTAGATTAACTAGTGTACTGTACACAACTGAGAAAGTAGTGCTGAAAAATACCTGTCTGGAGTTGGAATAGAACAAAAAGCAGTTCTGATATGATCTATTTAATAAAAAATAGCACCTTAAATTTGTCATTGGGTGAAATTGAAGGTACACAGTATTTCAAAGGAGATCTGTATTTTTAATTATCTTACTGAAAATTTTAATTCTTCACTGAAAGAAACAAAAATGGATATATATACTCAGTAATTCTCAGTTAATGACTGCCCTGTTTAGTGCCTGTTCAAAGTTATGACAGTGCTGAAAATGCATTTATTATCATCACAGTGTCGCACAATCATGTGATCACATTTGCACGTTTCACAGCCAACAAACAAAGTCAATGGAGAAGCCAGCAATGAAATTGCAAATTGCAGTCACATGATGTTTCACTTAATGACTGTAAATGATTTGCTTAATAACTGCAGCAAAATTACTTACATCATAAATCCAGAATGGCCATGTGATGTTTAATGATGGTGTCACTTAGCAACAGAACTATGAGCATTAAGTGAGGAATACATGTACAGGAAAAGCAACCATTGTCCAGTATTTTCTAATTTCTTTAGTTCATGAATATGAGAGGGCTTGAGAAGCACTTCTTTTCACATCATTAAAGCATTCTCCAGACCTTTTCATATATGTTATGTTTACAACAGACCACCAATAATGTTTGAACTAAGAACTGAAAAGGTATGTTGCCTTCCTTAAACTTCTACAACATGAAAAGGTCTTCAAAATCTCCAATATATTTTATATTTGTATATTGTAGTATCCAATATCAGTGGGAAAGCAGAAGATAGACATACAATGTATCTTAAAAACTTTGAATGCAGGATGCTTGTAAAGAATTAACATTACCACTAAGTCAGTTTTAATCATCAGCCAATATTAACAGTTCATCAACACTAGACAACGTTTTAAAAAGAATTTCCTCTTATATACAATTAAATATAGTGAAAGCAAACTAAAATTAATTTTTCCATTCCTGTTGAGTAAAAGTTTTCTCACTCAAACAGCAGGGGGCACTAATACCTTCCCCACAATAATGTTTTTCTCTTTAAAAAACATTTACAAATATGAATACTAATTTCAAATATTTTTACAGAAATAAGAATGAAAAAACACTAGGATATAGATATAAGCAACAATCCAAAGGAAACATGGCAAATAACAAAGCTGTGTGTAAGTATCCACACAGTAGTACTCCAAATGCTATCAGTATTGATTATAGTTACTCTGTAAATATGTCAGTCTTTCCACCCCAGCAAGGATCACTACATGCAACACTTACTATAGGAGCACATTCAGGTGGTTTGTTTGTTAAAACTGATGAATCACATTTTCATCTTATTAAACAAGGATACAATTGCAACAAGTTAAGAACTGTACACTATCTAGAAGTGAAGAAGTCTGTAATCATCGTGGACATTTAAACTAAATAGAAATATATATGATAGCTTACATTAGACACAGTTCTAGTTATCCCAACCTCTTTTGAAATTTGCTTTGATCATTGATGTGTTGGAACCATATCATAAAAACATCTCTATCAACCACACATTTCCATAATCAGAACATAAAAGCATAAGCGGTGTCCTGCTGGATTGGACCCTCCCTCCCTCCGGCCTATCTAGTCTAGCAGTTTGTTCCCACAGTGGCCAATCAAGGGCACAAGAAAGTCTACTAGTGTCCCAAAATGAAAGGCAAATGGCCTTCAAAGACAGCGACACTAATTGATACTGCTCTCTGTGACTTCCAGGAACTGATCCAACTGTTTTCTGAAGCAAATCCAACATTTCTTTGAAGCCAAGATTTGAAGTCAAGATTTAAGATGCAGGAAATAGTAATAATAAATGAAAAAAACTATAGCACATTTCTAATGATAACAGTGCTGGCTTGCATAAATCAATCAGCACTGATTATGAACAATCTCATCAATTACATATCACCCCTTTAAGAATTTTCCACTAAACTTTGCCCTGATAATTCTATAAACAAATTCTGTACCAAATATCAGCATTCTACCTAATGGTGAAATCCAAACTGGCCCTGAAAAGGGCATAAGAACATGGCAACAAATCTGTATACAGATCCTAAAAGTCCATATGAGTTGGAATAAATGATCAGATTAAACAGATTGGCTGCATCATAGAAATCAAAAGCTCTCTATTATTCATCATTCACGTTGTAAAGGTAGCTAGTAACTGAAATACACACAATGTAATACTGCTGCTGGCACCAAATAAATATTAGTGCTATTATAATATAATTTACCAATCTGTTCTATCAGTTAGTCTATAATTTTCTCTATAGTGACAAAGCATATAATAGTACAAGTATGAACCAATTTTATCTAGCATTCATCATTCAATGTCATAATTTAACCATGCTCTTTCCATTTCAGTTAGACATTTAGTGTAAATTGCACATCTTTACAATCTTAACAGTTCTTGCAATTATTCTTTTTAAAAATATAATACTGTACCACAATATAATATATTTTAGGCACCATAATTTAAAGACATATTGGTAAGTGGGGTACTAAATTGCTTTTTTTCTGGATATAAACAGAAAATGGAAGGAAATTATTTTGTCAACTTTCAATGCACATGAGGACCCACAAATGGTTCTTGGGATAAAAGGAATTCAATGTAATTTAGGGATTAATCCAGGAAAACAGCACAAGAGATCATGGTAATCTGTAGACCGAGGAAAGTGGTCAAGTATAAAAGAAAAAGAAGCACAGGAATAGATCTTTAAAACAGTGGAAGTAATTAGAAAAAGCACCTTTCCAGTCAGACTCTGACAATACTATCACAATTGTAATATAACTTCTATAGAAATGTGTATGTCCATGGGACTCAGAAATGTTTTCTTTTGAAGTATCATATGTGCTTAGTATTTTCTCATATTGATCAATAACGGCGGTGGTTATCCATTTTGAAACTCTGATAAGGTGACCTTCTTTTGTAGGTAAAGAGAAAAGAAAATGGTGGGATAACTCATTACATTAAAATACTGTCCTCTGTCCACTCCCAACATTTCTTATCCAGATAGGACACTTCTTGGAACCACTACTGCCCTCACCTGCTCTTCAATCAAGCAAGTAACAACCAGAATGCAAATCTAATATGCTCATGCAATTAGGAAGACATCTTACTTTATACCAGAACATAACAAACACAACATTCATGGAATATATCAATAGGGACAGTCGATTCTTAGCAGGTGAACTAGGCTTGAAAAAAACCTGGAAACAGAAATGATGCTGTAAACATCATTGGAAATGGTGCAGTTTGTGTAAGACCTCCAGGGCTGAGGAGTAAAAATTATTCTGTACACAGAAGAGGATATTGTGTTTTGTCTCTAATATTAAATTATAAACCGCATCAAAAACCAGAACAAATTAAACTCTTTTGTAAAATACATCATTGAAAAGAAAGTACTATTTTCTCACCTTATTTTGGGAAAAAGAGCACCTTTTAAGGAAAGGTAAAAACTTGTTGCTGTGGTTGTCTTGAAGAGGTGAAGAAAAAAGCTCAGTGCTTAGATTGTCTCTTTAACTTGATGTGTCTGTGATTGAAAATCTGAAGAAAGGCAAAAAATACATGAAAAGCAGTTAATAATTTACCATCCATTTACAAAGTAGCAAGTATATGAAATGCATTTTGAATAAAGCAGAATAATGGATGGTGAAGTGGGCTATAGCTCTCACAGGTTATGCCACTATAATGTCTGTGAGGCTGCAATTCAATGTACATTATCTGAAAAGAGGTCCCATTGAGCTCAATGAGGATTACTTGAGAATATGCCAGATTATATTGCTAAAACCACTCAATGGATTATATTGTTAAAATGACCCAATAGAGTGCATTGCTAAAATTACAAAGACATCCATAATATCTGCAATCGACTTATTGGATAGTATTGGGCAGAATTCAATTTCAGAAAGGAATCCTAAAAAGGCTTTCAGAAGGCCATGCCTCTCAAGCAAATGGGGATTTATTGCAATGCGTTGGTACAATATAGCAAATATCAAAAGGATTTTTTATGGTTTCAGAAAATCATTCAAAATCTGTGACCTTTAAACATAACTCTATTCTTTTTTACTTTATTTTTACATCAAACTGTCTTGCTTGATGTAAAGACTGACATGACAGGTGCTTTCTGGTAAATATTAGCTTAATTTTAAAGAAATTAAGATATGGTATATTCTTCTTCCCTCTCCTCTCTCCAAAGCTAAAATATAATGCAGCAAAATTCAAAGAACCTCATCATGTCAAAAGATAACAATAGCAGACTCGAATCTCCCTGTGGTGAAGCAGACAAATCAGCTATATTTCTTGGTGAGTATTGTAACAAAATAAAATGAGGAAGCAGAAGATAGCATTCATAAATTGTTTGGATTTAGTTAAGATTGACTAAACTGGAGAGATAAATGTAGCTATTTGAAACACACACTATAAAGCAGCAGCTTCACCACAGAATAGCACCAGATAAACCATAATGTAAAGCCAGGAATAGACAGCCAACTGCCTTCCAGATAGCTTTCAATTTCAATCCCTACAATCTCTAGTGAGCACAGCTAAAGATGAGGGAATGCAGGACTTTAAAAGATCTGGAATGCACCAAATAGCCTGCCTTGTGTGAAGCTATAATGTTGTTCTGATTTAATGTGATACCAAATTATATTCATTGTAGCCTGTAAACCATTGTTTCTTTCCTGGAATAGATCGTACATTTCATTAACCCCAAAACAATACAAAACAAAACAAAAAACCTCAGAATCAGGCCAATATAAATGAATTACTCTTGTATGACACAACAGAGGTCAATATTGCCAGATGACACATAAGAATGCTATCACAAGCCTGTGCAATAACCGAGAAAATTCACCTAAATCTGCATCACACAGTTAGCTATAGTGACACACTGAATTCTGCTTAGTACTTGGACAAAATTGTGAAAACCAGCCTATGATGATATCACAGGGACGATATGTATATAGATCTGTCTTCTTTTCCAAAAGAAGTGTCTACAAGAGAAGCTTTCCCATTAAACTAAAATATCAGAAAATAAATAACAAGAATCTGAAACTATTATAGATTGGGGTCCCCAACCCCCGGTCCGTGGACCAGTACTGGGCGCAGCATGCCAGCAACAGGTCCGCACAAACAAGCAAAGCTCCATCCGCAGGCAGCACACAAAACCATGCACTTTCTGGTCCCTGAAAAAACCTCTCTCCATGGAACTGATCCCTGGCTGCCCAAAAGATTGGGGACCTCTGAATTATAGCATATTTTTAAAAGAATAACCCACCTATTATTAGAACATCTAATAGCATAAATAACATAAAACTGTTAAAAAGTTAAAGGTGTTTACTTCTCTATCAGAATGCACCATTCTCAGAACCTCAGCAGAAACTTTTTAGCTTAAACAACAATATAAGAGGAAAGTGATTTAATTAAAAAAAAAGTTCTGGGATCAGCTGAAGTACTTTTTAATTCCATCTGTAAAGTTTATGTTAACAAGCTAAATTCCTGGTGATTTATGGAGATGTTTGTATCATTTTCTTGCAACAATATAGAAGTGGTTTGCCCCTTCGTTCTTCCAGGATGTTTTCCCAATTTCCTTCTCTAGTATATATTATATCCTGGTGGTCTCCCATCCAAATACTAATCAAGTCTGACTGCTTAGCTTCTGAGCCAGAAAAGATAGACCATCATGTATCGCCACCTGCTGGAACTTTATACTTTTTTATTTTAATTAAAATTAAGCTGAAGATTTAATAAAATGGGGCACAATCTATAGTATTAAGAAGATTTCCTTAATATATCCTATTTTCTCCACATATCCCATTTAAATCAGGCTTGTACAAGAAACCTTCTTTAGTGTATTATATCCATAAGTATTGATTTCCCTTTTAAAAGTTCACCAAAAATATCCAGTTTAAATCACAATTTCTTAAAATTGTGACAATAATTCACATATTAAAATTTTATCCAGATGTTTACATCATCTTTGTTTAAATCCCAGTGTGCAGTGCTACCCCCAGAACTCTATAGTTTAATCTACAAGGCTTTTAAAATTAATTTCTTACATTAGTCATATTATAGGGTAACCCTTCATGAGTAATGAAGAATTTTGTTCAGTTCATTGAATTTACTCCCAGATAACTGGAAAGAGAATTGCACTCTAAATCTATTATTTGCACTAAGTACATGAATTCCACCTAAACAGTTAATTATTCACCAGATCAATGGGCCAGCAAAGCACTCAAGGATTCTCTCAACAAAGAAACTGCTTCTTAACAAATTATGCCTGAACTTAATAAACACTTCAGTCAACATTCACTACTGAGGTAGCAAAGAGGGAAAAAAGTGAGGCCTACTTTTGTTCTCATAGACACCAATATATGTAAAGCACTGCCTCCAGCTGTCAGAGCAAAGAATTAGATATGTTTCATTACACAATAGATGATTCTGTAGTAAATACTACCATAAAGATCATCTGACACTTAAAAAATATAATCAGAAAATGTTGCTTATCAAATGTAACTTAAAAGCCCTTGCACTAACTTTTGAAGTCCAAAGTGAAAGCACATCATTCTTCAGATATCTCAGTCATAGGTCTAAAGCAGGGGTGTCAAACTGCCAGCCTACAGGCCGGCCCCATCATCCGGAAGCCGCGTCCACCCCACTGCCGGCAATGGCAAAACCGTCCTGATACAGTGCGTGACGTCATGTGACATTGCGAATTTGACATGTCAGGTCTAAAACATTTCTACACATTCATAAAGCTTTATTTAAAAAAGTCAATCATATCATAGTAGCAGGACAATGAGAAACAGACATTCTATAAAATTAATTCTATGTTCCTCTTTCTGTCACATTCATCTCTTTTTGCTTTCAGACTGCTGGACAGGACACACTGGCTCAAAACAGAAATCTGAACAGAATGTGATGGAGTCTGCAAACTAACAACAGTCGTCCTTAACAGGACTGCTCATATGAGAAACCTCTCTAAAAGATTATCACCAGAAGTGAAGTGGAGACTCCAGAGAGAGACAGAAGTATGCCAATTAAATATAGAGATGAAAAATATGCTTGTAATAAACAATACTAAAAATAAATTAAACAAACATTTCCAGTTTCAAAATGGTTAATACAGAGATGAAGGTTCCAAATACTAATAATGTGATAAATTGGAGCAAAGCAAAATACAACTTTTTTAAAAATCAATATGGGACAAAGAAATATACAAATATGAATCTTTGGCATTGCTAATGTGTTTTACTTTGCATTAAAAATGTATTAACTATAATAAAAAGCTTTGCTCTTCCCTAAATTTAATATTGTGCTTGAAACAGTGATACAAAATAAATAAATAAAGCTATTGGAAAATTGTGTAAACCATTAAAGAAACTGTTAAAATATTTATATTACCGGTATGCTCACCATGGCCTTCAAACAAATACATTGTTATTATTAAATTCCAACTTGTTTTATTTTCTCGAAAGCCTTCCCTTACCTGTTAATAGCTAAAACAAATAAAATCTATTTATATTACAATGAAATAACAATAATTTTAGACTAAAATGCAATGTTACCTGCATTAATTGCTGTAGTTCAGATTAAAAATAATTTCTACAAATTCATAAACTAAGACATCAGGATTTTTAACCTTTGCATTCCATTGACAGTACAGTATCTTGTATGACTCCTGCCTTCAAACGGTTAAGCAACAAACTCAAATTACTTTACTGAAACAGATTATTTTTTTTTAGTATAAACTTTGAAGTTTTAAAAAGCTACAGGCATTTGTTGGTCTACAAACAATACATGTTCATGACATTTGCATGCTACACAACTTTCTATTTACACAAAACACCTTTAGGGGAAAATCTAATGATAGTATTTAGGATCCAAGATAACCTTAACATGAATTACTTACAAACCTACATGCTTCTGACAAACATTGTGTAAATTTTAGAAACTGGGATGCAAAAGTCATTCATCAATCAACAACAGAGCCAGAAAATGCATTCCAGGAAGCTGCAAGCTATTATGTTTACAATATTTTTTAAGGGTTGGAGTCTTTAAATTCCTGCAGTGGTCTGATATTCTGAACATACAAGACACATTTGGACAATAAAGATGATATAGACACACATAAAAGAAGTTGCATTGGCCAGTCTTGTGAAAATATAGAGGGACTGGTTAAAAATTCTCTAAAGCTTGTTTCATTGCAGATGGAAAAGAATAAAAAAGAAAAATCTGAAATCTCAGTTCTCAGCATCAAATTAAATACCTATTAAATTAATCCTTAAAAGTAATCCAATTAATAAAATATTATGCTGGTAAAAAGCTGCTGTCATTCAAAATAGGTATGGATAGTCCCACTAAAACAAAGAGGCAAGCAGCCAAAGTTGCCTGTCCTACAAAGCTGCCCTAAAGGATTTCTTCAAAGTAAAATGCCAACCATAAACCAACTAAAACTCAAAGGAAGTTTAAACTTTAAGAGAAGCTCCTCCAAGTTTAAAAGTAACCACAAATGCCTTCTGGTAGTTCAAATAATAATACCTTTC